AGGCATGGTAAATTTTTCATTAAAAAAAATCAAAATGCAAAATGTTAATCTTTAATTGCAAAAGGGAGGGAGGGACTGAGAATATACATCAATGATAATACCCCTTGCCTACTACATGTGAGACCCTAAAGTCAATTTCCAGCATTGCAAATTAAAAATGGTTTTCACAGAAAAGAGCAGAGCCAGATGCTCTTTAAAAGTCAAGGGCATGGTCAAGTCAAAAATATATTACTTTCCTAATAGAACAAAGGGTTAAAGAAGAAAATAATGAATATCTCAATTCTCACTGAAGAAGCCCCCTCATGCAACAGAGGGCCAGGAATACAAAAGGTCACAAACGGCCAAAGTGTAGAGACTAAGAGTCTGCAGAATGTTGCTCCTTTGACAGGACTCCTATATTAAACTACACCCACCCAGGGCTCAGGAACTATTGTGGAAGAGGGAGCAGAATGATTTCAAGAGCCAGGGGAGGCGGTACATGACCATATAGAAATAGAGTCCAACAAGCTCATATGAACCTACAGCAATGGTGTCAGCATGCACAGGACCCATGCAAACTCAAGCAGACAAAAATACAGCACAGAACAGGGGAAATGGACAGGTGACCCCAATCTTAGCTGAAGAAATATTGGCAACTGATTACTGCTGGGTGAGGAAGAGCCGATCTTCTTAAAGAGAGAGACTCTAAATAGGCTGACTAGACTCAGTAGATGAATATGCACTGAGGGATGTCTGGAGGCAGTCACTTGACACAACAGGCCTTAAGACAGATGATAGAATGTGTGAATTCCGGTGGAGGGGCTAGATGAGGGTGCCAATGGGGAAGGGGGTATAAAGATATTTAAGATTGATTGAGATACTCTGTATGAAATACACAAAAATTCATTTAAAAAGAATATATTACATTCCTAACACTCAAGGTTGTTGAAGCCTGCTACCCATACACGATACATGAATACTGTCTCTGCATGGAAGAAATATACCTTTTTCCTGACTCCTTGGCAAAAGTGAGTGTCATATGCCCTAAGCAACTAAATGTGCTGTCATATTCTGTAGATGGCATGCTTCACTTTCAATTATTAAGTAGCTACACATGTTATATAAGACCTTTATAGTCATATATATTAGGAATTAATATAAAATCATTTTCTCAATAAATCCTGGTGTTCCTTACTTTAAAGATAACCAAGTATACAAAGATCCGAGTATGTTTTTAAAAGATAAATTAACATATTAATTACTTACAAATATACTAAGAGATAGAAAACCTGTGTGTGTGTTTTCACAATGCATGTAACACATCTTTTTCTGAAAAGCAAGATAGAAATATTCATTCTTTCAACAATGTAAAGACATAAAATTGATGAGCACCTCTAAGATATGGTAAGCTCTGTGTTTGGCGATCCACAAACAGGAACTGTAGATAGTCCCTTTCCTTACAGAGTTTCTAGTCTAACAAGTGGGACAGAAAACAGGCAGTAGACTTAGGTTGCGAAGAAACAAGGACGTTTCTGGTTACATGGATGAACACTTAACTGAGCCGAGCCACAGGGGAAGAAGAGGAAGTGGCCTTGACACAGGGACTAGTGTGGGGGTAAAGGAGGTCTGTGTAAAGTCTACAAGGTAAGTATGTCAGGAGAGAAAGGGGACAGGAAGAGTATGATGATGGGAGCCAGGGAGAGTATTGTTAAGACTACCAGTGAGTTATCTTGGACTCTGAAGTGACAGTAAGGAAACAATGAAGATAAGAAGTGGATGCATAGGAGATATATTTAGGGGGCAAAATAAAGATGATGTAAAAGCAAGCAGAGACAACTAGGATCCTAAACTAGGGCAACTAGAGACACCATAATGCCAGTCAACAAGATGATAAAGAAAAGTTTTGCAGGGTTTGCAGGAGATGCATTCATGCAGGGTAAACTGAGTCAGTTTCCTATGGGAAATTCCATATTGTAAACACCAATCTGAAGTTTAGGTGAAAGATCTAGATCAGAAACAGAGATTTCAAAGCCCACCCACATCTTTTACTTCTCATTGGCACTGCCCTTCCATAATGCCCTTCTATACGCAAGTGAATTCAACAAATATCTTATTACCTCCTGCTAGTTGACAGTCACTGTGCTAGGTGGAGGATTCAGTTTAATGCAAACAAAAAACTAAACAAGCAAAAACAGAATAAAAAAATCAGTTTGACTCATGTTGATGAAAAATTAGTACACGCTTTCATTTGATCAAAAGCTTGGTTTAGCAAATAAAAGTTTTGAAAACTTATCTGAAACATATTACAACCCATATTACTCACAGATCAACAGGGTAATGTGCATAAGGTTCATGGCTTAAATAGTGATTTGGTTTCATTTACCAAGCCGTGATGGATAATGTAGAAAAAAATCACTTATCCAACCATGCTAGTTATCTGTTAAGGTGTCTTCTTCCTCATACATGAATTAGGTAGATAGTCTTAGGCTGAAGCAAATACAAACTACTAACAACAAATATTTGGATCGTGGATATTAGATCTTTAAAATGAAAGGCCAGATTAATTTCAATATGACTAATTCTTTTATCCTTTTATTGAGATCTATTTTTAATTGTGTATGTCTCTGTGAGTCTGTGTTTATGTGTGTGTCTGTCTTTTTGTATGTCTAGCTGTCTATGTGTGTATTTGTGTTTGTGTCTGTCTATATGTGTCTGTCTATGCCTATGTCTGTGTGTCTGTGCCTGTGTCTTTGTGTGTATATATATATGTGTGTATGTGTCTGTCTGTCTTCTGTATGTATGTCTGTCTGTGTGTGTATATTTGTTCGTGTTTCTGCTTGTATGTATGTGTGTGTATCTGTCTGTGTGTTTCTCTCTCTGTGTGCTGTGTGTGTGCTGTGTGTTTGTGTGTGCTGTGTGTGTGTGTGTGTGTGTGTGTGTGTGTACATGCCTTTGGGGACCAGAAGAGGCTACTTTGGAAGAGAGCACTGGGTTCCATGGAGCTAGAGTAACAGCACCACACAAAAAGAGAAAGGAAAAAAAAACATGCTGGGAGAAATGATTTGATGTTTCAAGGCAGCTGGTTTCTTTTAATTTAATTTTAATTTTATTTATGGGTCTGTACCAGTGTGAATGTGTGCCATATATGTGCAGGTACCCTCAGAGACCAGAAAAGGGTGTCATATCCCGCAGAGCTGGAGTTACATGAAGCTGTGTGCAAACTGAACTGGGGTCCTCTGAAGAGCAGGCAGTGCTCTTACTGCTGAGCCATCTCATCTCTCCAGCACCTCCTTTTCTTTTTTTAAGTGACTATTTTATGAAAGGTAAATGAGTTTAGAAGCATACTCTACTTTTTACATACTCACTGTCCAAGGCAAGTTCAATGTTGAGAGAGACTAATGAATGGTTAAGTATGAAAAAACATGTAAAGTTATTTACAGACAGAATTTATGAAAGAACCACTGCTGTTTTTAGATGCCAAACTGGTTCTTCATGTGGACAAACTCATAAAATGTATTGATGATAAGTAATATAATAAAGATGAGTACCTTTTGAAAAAAGTTTACATGCTTGAAAGAAAGAATATCCAATTCCCACTGCAGAAAGAAAGTGTAATGCCATTAAATAAGAACACCAGAAAGGAAAAAAATATGAAAAACTACAAAACAAATTTTTCTTGGAGTGAATAATGGCATGAGTGGGTCTTGGACAGCCTGTTCCCAAACCAAGGTGCTCTACTTCAGGAAGACTTGTTGCTAGGACTATTAAGAAAGCAGCTTTAACCAGAGAGAAGGGTTAGTCCAATTTATTAAGTAATTCTTATAGTTTGGAAATTTCCTTTACTTTTCTTCAAAACAACCCTTTAAGTAGGAAGGCATCTTTGTCCTTATTTTATAGACAAAAAATAACTGAAGCTACAAGAATTTAACTGCCTTGGATCACACAACCAAGGGAGCCAGACATCTAAGTGAAGCCTGCTTTCTGCTTAGAAATATTAACCTGTTCTACTTTTAGTTTTGTAACTGTTTGGTTTAATCTCTTTATTTTATTACTCTTTTTACTGTTTTCACTATCTTTGATATTTCCAGGATCTTCAGTATATTTTTAGTCACCATTATTCCTTTAAACCACTGTTTAGAGTGTCATTTTGAGTATATGTATGTATTTAAAAATTATGAACCATGTAACTTTCATTGCACTTTTAATCTGATCCATGCTGGAGACAAGTTGCATTTGATTTCATTACCCCTGGCCTCCTCTGATTTTCAAAGCAGTATCCTACACTAGCAAGTGAATAATTCAATTTCTATCAGAAAGACTGAATTCAGTCTCGTGTTCACCCCCTTCCACTAACAAACTACTCTCTCCCAGAAAACCACAAAACACCAGCTCCAGCAACCTGTGGGGGAATAATCCTATCTTATTTTCAGAGCACTTTAACTTCATTACAAGTATAATTGTTTTTCCCATAGAACTTAGAAAGGAATAGGATGTTACACAATTAGAATAGGCTTCAATGATTAAAACTAGAAAATGAACTCTGCGATAGGAAATTATTAAAACAATTATCATTTACCAGCATCTACTCAGAAAAGGAGATCCACCCTAATACAGCAGGCACTCATATATCAGCAGCATAGAAGAACCAAGTAAGAGCTTCCAGAGTAGTGATAAATACGTGTGAGTGTAACTCATGTATGTATATGTAAGTTCCACACTTTTTCTCCACCTGCTGAAGAAAAGGTGTGAGTCTGATGCTGGAAAAATGGTCCCACTCATTTCTCAGGCTAGAATATTCCATGTTGAGGTGTGCATCATCTTGCAAAATTCTGTGTACCTACTGTGTCTTATGAATTTACGTAATCTCATCCTGACTTCTGCTTTGTAATATCATTTAAACATGAGCAAAGATGCTAAAATTTTATATTAGCATTGAAAAAAGAATTCAGTAGATATAGCAAGAGGAACCTAAGGAACAATAGCAAGACAAAAATTAGTGACGATGAAAATAAGCTACTTACCATGTTTAGATGAAAAAAATGTTCTTGGTCTCATCAAATTTTCAGAAGTAGGTACCACAAACTGGATTGGTCTCTTATGTTTATCATCTTTCAGGTTCTTAAAACCAGCCTGTTGGTTCTCAAATATACTTCGAATATTTTCAAGCTTGAGTTGTACAGTCTGCATTTGAGCCTGTGGGTCACATATAAATTCTGTTATTTTCTAAAATGGGTCATAATAGTGACAATTAGATACTTCAAATTCAGTAAAAAAAAATTAATTTTGGGACTGGGGAGATGCCTTAGCCAGTAAAATGGCTGCTACAGAAACATGAAGTCCTGAGTTCAGATCCTCAGCAGCATGTAAAAGTCAGATGCTACAGCGATATCTGTAACCTCAGTCTGGGGAGCAGACAGAAGAATCCCTGGAGCTCACTGAGAAGCCAGCCCAGCTGAATCAGTGAGCACTCCAGGTTCACTGAGACCCTGTCTCAATAAGCAATGTGGAGAGTGACTGAGGAAGTCAGCAAAAGTCAACCATTGCCCTCCACCCACATACACATATCTGTATGCACGTGTGTGTGTACAAACCCACGCAAACATGAGGATACACTCCACAAAAAATAAATGTATAAATAAGTAAGCATCAAAGTATTATATCTTTGGACTGTATTGTTAGAATATTTTATTTTTAAAAATGCTCTTTGTGGTCTAGAGATGGCTTAAAAGCATGAGAACCTGACTTTGGATCCCCAGAACCCACATAAAAAGTAGGCATCAGTAATCCCAATACTGGGAGGGAGAGGACAAGAGGATCCCTAGGGCCTGCTGGCCAGCCAGTCTAGGAGAATCAGCAAGTTCCTGGAGCAGTGAGAGACCCTGTCTCAATAAACTACAGTGGAGAGGGATTAAGGAAGATAACCGGACACAGACTCTGGCCTCCACATGCATGTGCACATACATCCATATACACTCATACTCATATATATATAAACATACACCAAATACACACAATTAATTTTGAGTTTAAAATATAACAAGAACAAATTAGGGGGGGGGCAGAATTAGTGTATTCTCTTCATGTGGATATAAAACCAAAGTCTCAATATAAACAGTCTGAGGAAAACATATGTATCAGTCATGAAACTAGTCACAAGATTCTACAACAGTTTGGGACCTTTCTCTAAGAAGACAGAAGAAAATGTATGCGAAAGTTCATAGTACATTTAAAGAGTTTCAAGATAATACAGTCAACTGGGTGTGGTTGCAGTTGCACACACCTTTAAGCCCAAAACTTGGGGGGCAGAGGCAGGCAGATATCTATGAGTCAAGGTCAGCCTAGTATAGCTAGCAGGTTCCAGGGAAACTGGAGCTACAAAGAAACCATGTCTCACAAAAAAACAATAATAATAATAAATAATAATAATAATAATGTAGTCAGAGATCACAAAGGAAGTTAGTCTTATGTATGTAGCAAATATATGCCTTTAGATTCTTTGATACATGATGGACGTGCTACTAATAGCCCTCAATCCTCAGGACTATGTACATACAAACCATACAGAGGTACCTGAGAAGTAATACAACTCTTATACCATTATAATTACTGTTTCTATGTGTGTGTCTTTGAATAAAGTGCCTTTTACCTTGAGTTCAGGAGATAAGAGCACATCAAATTCATACTGCAGTGTTTCAGCATCATAACTTATGAAGGGCACAGCCACTTGAAGAAAATTTTCGATATCTTGAAGGGCTTTCTGAACATCTTCTTTAGATTGAAACTTATCTGCTTCCTGATTAGCCAGAAGATGTTCCCCTTCATCACAACACTGACGAGCCTGATTAAATTAAAAAAAAAAATCAAGAAAAACAAGGAAGCAAACATATGAATGAATAAAGGGGAAATGGGATTGCCATTAAGAAAGCTACCTCACTTCTTTTTATATTACATCTTATTTAGTGTCTGTGTGTGCACATCGGCATGCAAGCACACCCATGCCATGTGGAGGTAAGGAGTGAACTTGCAGGGTCTCCTTCCACAATGTGAGTCCCAGGAATGAAACTCAGGTCATCAGAATTGTCAGGAAGCGCCTTTACCCAGTGAGCCATCTCATGGACTGGAGCTAATTCACTTCTATTAATAACAATTACTTTCAGGGCGGTGGAAATGGCTGGATCAGTAAAGTGTTTTCCCTATAAGCGTGAAGACCTGAATTTCATCCCCAGAAACAACATTAAAAAGCTGATCACGGCCAGGTGTGGTAGTCCACAGCTTTAATCCCAGCATTTGGGAGACAGAAGCAAGTGGATCTCTGTGAGTTGAGGCCAGCCTGCTCTACATTCTGAGTTCTAGGCCATCCAGGGGTACATAATGAGATCCTATTTTGAAAAAAATAAAAAGGAAG